GTAGATGTTAGGTATGACGTAGGCATCCGCTAAGAAATGATTATACGAAACTCCATCTCTAAGGGAGTAAAACGGGATCCACGTGAACGAAGTCTCGGGCGGCCGCTAGTTCTAAAATAAATACAGAAAGTAATTACAAAATCTAATTTGAGGTCCTATTTTGTGTTTGAGGTGAGATCTAGGCCACGAAAACATTATCAGAATTACATTTTTTTTTTTGGGATGGACTGTCCCGCTGAAGGCAGAATTACATGTTTGTTGCAAAATCGCCCTAATTACAACTTTCATAAGATGCTACAATGATAATGAAATATTTAAATGCATATTAGTTACTTATAAAATTAATGTAAAAATTTCAATGGTATTTATGAAAAATGAAACGAAATAACTTGCAACTTCAATACGGACTAAGTCGCGGATACCGCCATGCTCCTGAAAATATTTTTATATCTATGTCGCCTTAAAATTCCCCGTATCGGCCAATCTCTAATTTTGTTTACGAGCAAAAAGTTTACGAGTCCAGCGGAGTTTATTTGTGTACAAAAGAACAGCACGATCTGCGGTGCAATTAACCCTCGCGTGAAGTTTGTTCCAGCCCGGTCTTTTATTCGCCCCTGTAATTGTCACATAACCTTATAATTATTTTGGAAGTTTCTCTCTTGAGAACTTGGTTTAGCGTTGATTATTTTCTTAATTTCTTACCACTTATTAATAGTCGCATATCAGTTTTTGCTGCAAAGCTCACAGATTGTGCATTTATAAATTTATTTAAAAGTTGTACGTACGTACAGTCTTAGGCTTAGTAACGTGTCGTTTTGTATATGTATAGGTAGGTTCTTACAAAACATACAGTAAAGAAGCGATCATATTCTGCAACACAATGTCATTTAGCGTGATAGACTTCTTCTTTACAGTACGATACCACCTAATTTTGACCGTAACTAGGTAAAACGATAACTGGTATTTTTGTATGGTGTTTGACAGATTTTTGACGTTGGTCAAAGTTAAAGTAAGATGGTGCAACCCAGCCTTAGTTTCATTACAAAGCATGATTTTTGTTTCGTAAATCATGAATAAATTAAAAACTTTCTTGACGATCCGAGGTATCAGATTCTGTGCTACCCTATAATATTGTAATATCAGTTTCACGGTCCTTTACTACCGTATGTGCTCCAGCTAAATTAAGTTAATCCCGCAGGACCGATCATCGCTCATTAGTTTACGGCGGGAACAATATTAAACTTGTAAGCTCATCTAAGTAATTAATATGCACCATTATGTGAACAATATGTCACTAGGTAGGTAGTAAGAGTTAGTTCACATAGAAAGTCAGTTTTTACAGGATCGTTTGTAGTTTTGTACCTATCTAAGCTACTGTTCACACTGCACTGAATACAATATTTTGTGTGACTCGCTCGTTCTACTGCATATCGCTTGAGTAAAATCGTATACCTACGTTAAAAAGGACCTGTAAAACGGATCGTTATTTGAACGCCCACTTATAGTTAAGTAAAATATTGCAGGACAACATTTATCTCAAGTCATGTTTTTAAAATTAACAAACTTCGTTAGCTTCTATTGAAAATTTTAACATCACAAAATAATTTAAAACGAAAACTAAAATTAAACATGTTATAGCCTGACCAGGAACATAAAAACCCTCGCCATGTTGCGGAAAACTAATGGTACTAATTTCTTTTAATGGCAACAGTAACTGAAAACTTCATTGACATGTNGTTTTTATTGATTACATCGACTAAGTTTCTAAGAGAAGTACTGGACTCCCTCAATACGGGCTCAACATCAAATATTGCCTGCAAATGATTATCTATCAGAAGGCGATTGTTATTATAACGTTCGCATAATAAGTCCCATGCCACATTATAGTTATCGCCGGTAAAATCAATATTTTTTATAATTAAGGCTGCATTTCCTTGGAGTGAAGCTCGCAAATAATGAAATTTGTTAATATTGTCTATGCTATTATTATCATGAATTAANCGTCAACTCGGCGGGCCTGTCGGGCAACCCGTAACCCCCCAACGGAGGGGGGCCGGGGGCCCCGGCTACGGAAGTCGGGGCCAAGACAAGGAAAAGTCTTTAAAACCCCTAATCCTAAGGTCTGGCGGGGGCCGAGGGGATGAATGGCTAGAGGGTATCTAGTATGCTACCCCGTCGTGGAGGTGGGGCAGCTGCGCCCGTAAGCAGTCAAACAAGCATGGACGCAAAGAAAAATGAATGTATACCCCAGGAGGGTACCGGCAATGCCGGAGAATCCCTCACCGCCTCGGCGGTCTCGGCTCACGTATCTGGGGGAGCCGCAACGCGTTCTGTNAGCTGGGGTGGCGCAGCCAAAATGGACCTAAAATCCCTAGAAGTTGCCCAAAGAGCCATTCTTAAAGTAGCGACCTTCAAACACTACCTTCATCCAATAAATGACCTATACAGGGTGGAAACGATAAGTGATCTCACTCGATTATTTCTAAACTATACATGATATCCAAAAACTGCTTACTGATCCTGAAAGTGCTTCACGAGCTCTATCCAATGGTACCAATAATAAGTTATAAAATAAACTGGATCTATTCGAAAATTCAATGTTTTCAGCTTCCATACATTTAATACTGCCACAATCATAGCACTCATGTCTTGATAATATTATAGCAAGTAAAGCCTAAAGCCAATGTTTTCCGTGAATAATTTGAAATAAGAATGCAATTCACGAATTAATTTTAAGTGTTTATTATTTAAAATAAAAAAATTAACACTTCTAATATTGTGTGGCTGGCATAGTGGCATACATTTAGTATGGAGGTTGAAAACATTGAATTTTCGGATAGATCCAGTTAATTCTGTAACCTATTACTGATATCGTTTGAAAGAGCTCGTAAAGCACTTTCAGAATCAGTAATCAGTTTTTAGATATCTTGTATAGTTTAGAAATAATCGAGTGAGATCACTTAACGTTTCCACCCTGTATAGGGAGTGGAGTGTACTCTCAATCCGACAACTATTCATACTCCAAATAATATTAAAACAACACTCAAAAACATCTTATGACCCCAGGACACAACTAATTAGACGTACCAAAAAATTATTTTGCTTTTTGGGACCATATTTATACAGGGTGTTAGGTAAATGGGTATATGAGCAGACACTAGCCCATGTTAACATGGGCATATAAATGGTATGGTGAAGTCAGAAATTTGATATCATCATTTTATTTTTTTTTATTTTCATAGAAAATATTTTTTATAAAATCCGATTTGTGTTGATATACAGGGTGTTAGGTAAATGGGTATATGAACCGACACTAGCCCATGTTAACATGGTCATATAAATGGTTTGGTGAAGTTAGAAAATTGATATCTTCATTTTAATTATTTTATTTTTCATACAAATCGGATTTTACAATATTAATTTTGTATGAAAAAAAAAAAAAGGATGATATCAAATTTCTGACTTCACCATACCATTTATATGACCATGTTAACATGGGCTAGTGTCGGCTCTTAAACCCATTTACCTAACACCCTGTATAACAAAATTAATCGTTTACTTAATATAATATCCACTAACAAAAGTAGAATGCAAGAAACTTCTAACCGAATGGTTAATATCTAAAAATTACGAAGAAAGTGAGGCTTTTATTAAAACAATACAATAACTAACACATAACACACACACACACACACACACACTTACACAAATGATTAGAAAGAAAGATTGTTTTTAAAACTTAAAGTTAAAGTTAAATTTTTAAATAGTACTTCTTATCATTTATTTTGCCTATTTGTGTAAATCACATGTTATCATACAATTTTTTTTTTTTTTAGTTTGTTCCTAATATAAAATACTTACCTTAAATAGATTAACACAACCACGCAGTATCGATTAGCCGGTGGTGGAGGCCTGGTGTGCTGTAGCACAGGGTATCCTAGTACGGACACCAGTCTCTACGAAATACTTATTTTTGTTCCTTGTTGTTATAATTACCCGTTACAAATTGTGACTTTATGTATTTTGTAAAGAGAGAAATAAAGTTATTATTATTATTACTTCGATTTTGAAGTGTACCTATGTTGGAATCTTGTGTGCTATATTATGTCTCGTATATGGTCGGGGCTATTGTCTGGCGGAACGGACATAATACGAAGCACATTTGTATTCAAACTACACACACCGGCAGATTTAGAGGAACGGAAAAAAAAGCATCAATATCATCATTATTTTAGGAAAAAAATGCCTAATTATGACATAATTTTTTAATTTAANTCTAAAATGTTCGTTTAGTTTCAGTATTCTTCAACAACGTTTTGCTAATTACTAACAAAAACTTTTTTACATTTTAATTGCCCTGTAATTTGAAACATCATTTTCTAAAAAACTGTCCAAGCTCGACATTGACATTGTTATTTATTTAGGACGATTTTAATTGGTTTAAAATTTTCAATTTCGGTTTGCAGTGCCTTTAGTTAATAACGTAGAACCTACACTGTGCTCACAAATTTTAGACATCCATAGACGACCAAGTTACAGCTTTGAAACTGAGCTCAGAGAATCGGCTCCTACTCTTAGGAAAAAAGTTTCCAGTCCGAGTATCAGATGAAACTTTACTGTAGTCAGACACGTCTTCAAGATCGCAATCGATCTAAGTTCTTTTATCTTCTCAAACGCTTCCACAAAAATGAACGAAACGTACTTGGTCTTTGGGTTTTAGTTTTAAAACAAATCAAATAATATTTTCTTCCATGTTTTCCATGCGAATATGTATCGCAAATTAGGAATTTCTACCTAATTACTGAAACCTTACATGTAGTCTATTTTGATAACATAATATTATGAAGTAGGAATACGAGGGTGGATTTAATGTAGGTAACAAATAACAGTGGAAATGTAAATTTTGTTATTCTCTTCTGGTCAAAATAGGATTGTAAACAGAACAAAATACTTACCAAAACTTTTTTTAAGTGCTCTTACAGTGTGTGTGTGACAAATATGCGTGTGTTTAAAACGAAGTGTATTAAAAAATGACGAAGTGTAGTGTTTAGAATGTCGTGATAGTGGACGGTGGTGGACAGAGGCATGGTGGAGGACATCAGTTGATGTTGAAGGCTGTGCTGGAAGCGAGGCAAAATGTCGGCGCGGGGCAGCCGGCGGGTGCTCTCGATTCTGTTTAGCACGCTACTTCTGGGCCGGGCTATTGCAGGTGAGTTTTCAGATCTTAAAATCTTTTATTTTTAAATATAAAAAGTATTTTTAAACTAGAACTGTCGACAGCATATCTCACTTGATTTATTACACAACAACTAATTTATTTACAATTGATATCATAGTGACTTGATATGCCATCCGACCGTATTAGCTGCGAATTAAGTGATCACATCTTGCGCATTTTTATATAAAAATACTTACTGACGAAAAATAAAATTAGTATCATGAAGTTTATCATGCAAACTAATAAGCTAATAATTATTACTGATTGTTCTATAATCTCTCTGCCATATCGTACACAAAAACATGTAAGCTAATAAAATTCGTTAGTTTAATTACGGGCTATAATTTTAACTGGCACATTTTTACGACCTTAATTTTAGTCATTAGAGCTGGTTGTCTAGCTACGTATACTCGCAGCGGGAAAATTGCGACCCCGATAAGTTCCGAGCCCTCATTTACACTTAATTAAAGTGTAAACTACTGAACTCCTTGTAAATAAATTTTTGTTGCGAGCTTGTAAGGGAAAAATTAATTAATCCGATAGGAAGTTTAATCATCCAGCTTTAAGAATCCTGGCTTTCATGAATTTCGTCGAGTAATCTTTTACATTTGTGTAGATAAGCATCTCATCAATTAATGTAACGCAATGATGTTATCGTGCACGAACGAAGGCTGAAGCTTAATTGCGAGGAGTGCATTGGAGATGTATTTGTTAAATTAAATACCACAAACAGAGAGTCTCCCAATTAACTTAGATACAATAATTGATTTCGCTGCCAGTTGGACTCATTTTGATATCAAGAGCGCTACATTAAATTAATGGGGGTCAGCGTAATACGTTCATGTAGTTCGTTTGGCAATTACGAGTAGGTAAGTAGGTACGGTGAGAAGTCTGAAAGTTGTAAATACAAGTTGAGGTGATCACCTTAGTGAGTAGGTACTTACTTAAATAAGTCTACAATCTTGCTTGCTTTTTATCACATTCTGTACGTTTTTTTTGCGCGCGATATCTTGGCCAGTTGAATTTCTTGTCTTTTCAATTCGATATTTTACAAAAGCGGACAAAGATCTTACGAAATCACAACAATAATTCCATTTAGGTATGTCTTACTAATCAGCATTTGTAAATAATATAATTTGATCAGCCTGCACTCCTCTTCAAATGTCAGAATAACGAAATTCAAATGTCAAATTGTAGGCTGTACCTATATTGTATCTTCAACGTATTATGTTGGTATTTGTTGTGTATCCAATCATAATATCCAAACGCTAGAAAAAAAAAAGAGAAATTGTCTCTTGCTCTGTGGTCATACTTGTTGAAGACGCCTCTTGCTCTGTACCTGAAATTTATAGGGAAATAAAAAGGAAGTATTCAAGTATCCGAGTATTATTGTCAGCCCTTTCAACCATTAAAAGGTTACGGGCCCAGAAACGCAAGCTTCGTAGTGAAAATTGGTTTTGGGAGGGCTGCGGTATCTGAGGTGGCGAGGCGGCGGCGTGTTGTTGGGACAAGATGGAGGCAACCGCATTTCAGAAACTGAATGATCTCAATTGGGCAGTGTGGAAGTTTCAAATAAAAGTCATTTTAATGTCCAAGGGACTGTATGACCTCGTCGTTGGAAGCAACATGGTTTTACCACAAGACAAGGATGAAGTACAAAAATGGCGAGTCAATGACGCTAGGGCGCAAGAGGTGCTTGTGACTCGTATGGAGGAGGGAGCTATAAAACACGTGATGCAGTGCCAGTCAGCGAGTGAAATGTGGAAGAAATTAGAATGTGTATATGAAAGGAAGTCAGAACTGAGTCTGCATCTATTGAATGAGCAATTTTATAACCTCAAATTTGAGAACTCTGACTCAATAACTTCATTTTACACCCGGCTCAATAACATAGTGGGAAAAATCCAAGAGATTGGTGAAGCAATACCAGCCAACTTAATAATCACAAAAATAATAATGGCATTACCAGAACAATACAAACACTTCAAGTCGGCCTGGGAGAGTGTGCCAAAAGATGCTCAGTCTATGGACAATTTGCTGGCAAGACTATTAATTGAAGAAGAGAGATATAGAAAGGAAGAGAATGAGGAGGTAGCTTTGGTGACCAAAACCACTCGTGTGAAGTGCTTCAACTGCGGCAAGCTTGGGCACTATAAATATCAGTGCAGGAATATAGTTTGTTATGGCTGCAACAACAAGGGACATCTTTTGAAGGATTGCAAGTATTCAAAGGGGGCGAGAGGGCGTCCGTTATATCATGGTGGTAATATGCAAATGAATGGCAATTCATCGTCGATGGAGAACAACAATCAAGATGGCGTAGCTCTAATCGCTAACAACATTGAATCCGAAGTGAATACCGAATGGTATTTGGATAGCGGTGCTTCACAACACATGTGTAAGCAGAGGGACTTATTCTGCACATATAGCGACTTACCGGTTAAGAAAAACATCAAAATGGGGGATGGCTCTTCAATGCAAGCTGTTGGTGTTGGTAATATCTGTTTGTCTGCTTACAATGGTCGAGATTTTCATAAAGTCACTCTCCATGATGTATTGTTTGTACCTAATTTAAAAATTAATTTGTTTTCACAGGGGACTACTCTCGACAGAGGTTTTCAGTTAAATTCTAGTTTAGAAACTGCATTTTTTATAAAAGATAACTGTATTCAAGCAATGGCAACTAGAACTAATAATTTATACAAGATGTTATTCAAATATACATATAAAAACTGTAAGTGTACAAATAATAATTTGAGCTGTTTTTTAAATCAATCTACAAATGACATTTTCTGGTGGCATTGTGCATTGGCACATCAGAACTTTAGACATGTTAAAGCCTTTTTGCAACATCATGATATTAAATTTAGTGAAAAAGATGAAAGGAATTTTTGTACATCTTGTATTATAGGAAAACAACATCGAGATCCATTTCCCACAAGTGAATCTCGGGCAGCTAATGTTCATGATATAATTCATATGGATCTCTGTGGTCCTATTGAAGAGACATCTCTTGGAGGTCATCGTTATTTATTATTATTAAAAGATGATAAGTCGAATTTTAGAAAAGTTTATTTCATTAAAAGTAAAGATGAAGTTTTTTTCAAAGTTAGAGAATATATTAAAGAAATTCAGACACAATTTCATACAAATATAAAAATATTTCGTAGCGATAATGGCAGAGAATTTGTAAATAACAAAATGTCTAACTTGTGGAATTAGGAATAAAACACCAAGTAACTGTGCCCTACACACCACAACAAAATGGAAGAGCCGAAAGGGAATTCAGGACTATCATGGAGGCCACCAGAACCATGTTATCAGACGGTAATTTGGGTAAACGTTTTTGGGCTGAGGCAGCTAATACAGCTGTGTACATTTTGAACAGAACTGGACCCAGCCCAGTTGAAGGTAAAACTCCATTTGAATTGTACTATGGAAAGTCTTTTAATATAGCTTTTTTGAAAACAGGATTTGGAAATACAGTGTGGGTGCATGTGCCTGATGAAAGGAGAAAGAAACTGGATGCAAAGAGTAAATGTGGTATATTTATGGGATATGCTGAGGATACGAAAGGGTATAGAATTTATTATATGGAAGGTGATAAGGTATGTATAGAGAGAGAGATTGTAGTTGCACCATATAAGAGGGAGATTGAGAGGGATCAAGCTAGGTTAGATATGCGTGAAGAGGAAATTAACAGGAAGGATGAGAATTTTGAGAGGATGAATGAGACAGTTTTTGTGAGAGAAGATAGTAGTGGCGATGAGCATGTAAGAAAAGAGTGTATTGAGAGAAAGAGTGAGACGGAGTATGTACGAGATGACAGTAGTAGTGAACTGTGTGTTAGTAGAAGAAGTGTTGCTGGGCAGCCAAGTGAAGATGAGGATGAATGGGTAGATAGCATATCAGAGACAGAACAAGTGAGTGACAGAGAGAGAGAGAGGCCTAAGAGAGTTACAAAATTACCTAAACGTTTTGAGGATTATGAGTTGTATTTTAGTTTGTTAGATGAACCTACCACATTTGAAGAGGCAATGGCTGGCCCCTATTCGTCTAGTTGGAAGAATGCAATTGATGAGGAATTAAGAGCATTGCAAGAAAATAACACTTGGTCTTTAGTAGAGAAACCACAAAATTGTGAATTGATTGATAGTAAGTGGGTTTTTAAAATCAAAAGAGATAACCAAGGGAAAATATCAAAGTTTAAATGTCGTTTAGTGGCTAGGGGTTTTAAACAGCAAATATATGAAGATATTTATTCACCAGTTGCAACTATGAGTACAATTCGAGTTTTGCTAGCAGTTTGTGTCAATATGGGATGGCCAGTTTACCAATTAGATGTCTGCAATGCATTTCTACATGGCGATATAAAAGGTGAAGTATATATGAGTTTACCTGTTTGTTACAATGATTGTGTTCCAAAGGGTTATGTTTGTAAACTTAATAAGTCAATCTATGGCTTAAAAAATGCTCCTATTTGTTGGTATGAAAAATTTGACAGCTTTATGAACAAAGAAGGATACACAAGAAGTAAGTCTGATCTGTGCTTGTATTCCAAAGTTGAAGGTAACAAGAGAACCTACTGTTTAATATTTGTTGACGATATATTAATTACAGGCTCTAGTGAAATTGAAATTAACAGGTTAAAAGAGTGTCTCGAGAGTAATTTTCGCATGAAAGACTTAGGGCTATTGAGTGAATATTTGGGAATTTCTATAATGCAAGATGTGCAAAGAGGAATAATAACTTTAAGCCAGAAACATTATTTAGAGAAAGTATTGAAGCGATTTGGAATGGCTAACTGCAATCCTGTGAGTGTGCCTATAGATCCTAAATTCGATTTTACTATATTAAAAAGGGAAAAGTCCGAAAGTTATGAGATAGAGAATAAATGTAGACAAATAATTGGTTGTATTATGTACTCTATGTTGTGCACAAGACCTGATTTATGTGCCAGTATCAGCTTGTTATCAAGGTACCAGAATTGT